AACATAAAATCTAATCAAGGAATGATAAAAATCATTGCCATATTTTTAAATGTGTTCTTACTTTCTCCCTCAGAATTTGAGCGACAGCATGTCCTTTGTTTACAACCTCATAAAGAACAGCTCATCATTCATTAGGTCTCGGACAATGAAACCATCAGTCTGCTAGCTATTTGTGCATCAAATATTTAACCCTCCAAGCAGAGACTTGATGAGACCCGGGCTCACCTCACATTTGTACACAACTAACAAAACTCACATTCGATCTGTCCTGTTCTGTTCTTACAAACATTAACCATGCACTTTCGTGCGTCAGTTTTGGTTGCTGTTTTTTGGTTGCCCATTTGGATAAAACAGCAGAAATGGTGATTAGAATTTTGAGAGGAGATTCAAGCAGAAGATAGTGCATTTACATAGACTGAAGTCAAAAGGATAATGAACAGATGCATGAGCGCTACTGTTTGCTACACGTAGCTATATCGCTCAGTGTCTCTAACTATCAGTGACCATGATCTCGGGGTCCCCATCCAGGGAGCCTAACGGGACCTATGTGGGCCAGTCTCCTGGTCAGGGTTTTCATACGCTCATGCTAGGTCTTAGCTTGATCACCCTTGGTCTTTTTCCAACCGCTACCTGTCTTGGCGAATATCACTCGCCGTGGCAACCAATTTGGTGACATGCATAACATATGCCCAACCAAAATATTTAACTTTTCTATCCAAAATTTGAAGGTTTTGGAATACGGAAGAGTTCGAATCGATCCCTATCAACCCACTGTTCAGTTTTTCGAAACTTGCGAGCAACTCAGACCACGCAATGCAACGGACTCCCAGTCTGCCAGCTGTGAAAGCGATCTTTGGATCAAAAAACATAAACATTGGAAAGAGAAAAATCAAACTTAGTAAGTTATTGATTGATACAGCAGGTATAGTTTTCACTTTGAGGCCCTCTATTCAGAGTACCATACGCAGCACAACCTACGATAGTACGAAATACGTTAATGTTAATAAAACTGAACTCCACTACAAAGTCTCTTTGGTTTGTCCCAATATTCCATCATTATCCATTGCAAGATAACACAAAGTAGCTAACAAGGTCGTTTGTGGTGATTCTTCTACAGGCTAATACATCACAATTTATATCAAACTGTTTAGAACAGGGAAGCAATTATGACAAGTTGGAAAAGAGATAATCAACATTCCAGTTCCATGACCGGATGTTGCTCACACTTTGTTCCTCACACATGCGTACTATAACTTTTCAACTTCAAGTGAATCCATCGGAAACCCCACAAGGTTGTTGGTGTTTCGGCCGTCAAATGTCACCGATTGGACCGGATCTGTCCGAATGAGCTGACTTCCCCGTAAACAAACAAAAGTACTTTTTTAGTGAGTTACCGAGCCAGGTTGAATGTTTCAGGGGTGTAGGTTGAGGTAGGCTGTTCTCCTCCCGACCTTCCCCCAAACACCCGTTCCACCCGGGAATGTTATGTTCGTGGTCGTTGATCGAGTGTGCGTCATAGATACGAATGAACGATTCCGGAGGTAACTGACCTCTATCGGTCAGGTAAGGAAGCGAATCACGTCAAGATGGATCGATAACTCAGTCACCATGCCCAGACGTGAATGTGAGCATGCTTCAATGCATGAGTGGAGTCAGTCTAAGCCCTCAGCGATCGATGTTATCTTTGGGAGGCCTGAGAGATCGACAGCCGACCATGCGTCCCGTGTTTCGCCCAGGTATCTTCAGCTCCTATCAGCCGCTCACGGATTTAATGCTAGTCCGCTGTTCCCGTGTCACTGTGTGGCACAGTACAGTATGTGCACTAACAATCCTAAATTTGGAACACGTGTATTGAGATGGACATGCAGACAATACTCTTCGTTCGATACTAAATCGATGTCCAAAAATGCATGCACACAATGAAATCAACCAAAACGGTCCTGGAAATGCCACTGCAACGGGAAAGAATTTGGAGAGAAAGGAAGTCTTTCTCCTTTAGACCGGGGAACATTACAACCAGTATGTTAGAATGCAGGGAATCAGAAAATTTTTATAGACTTACACTGAGGGCGAAGGCTGAGCTTTTTAAATCGGAAGGTGTATGAAGATTACTTACGAACCGTAATGTAAATGGTTTCAACATGCTCGAACCAAGAACGGTGATGTGACCGAGGAACTCCAAGATATTTGATGGAATTCGCTTTGGTAAAGTTATCACCATTAACAGCAAGTTCAAACTGGTTACGAAAAAGAGTTTGATAATGAGTGCCTGTTTTATGACCGAAAGAAACATTTAAACATTTATCAACATTAGGCATCAAGAATCCGATGAATTTGAACCAGGTGGATATAAGATTAGTCACATAACTTGGACAAACGACTTCCACATTTTGGTTTTGAATGGTTCTCTGAGCTACAATTATTCAACATTAAATCCAACAAACATGAGTTCCCGTTTTATGTGGCATGACTCTGCTCAGGATTGAGAATAGCGATTTTCGTGTCCGTTGTTTCACTCATACGATTTTTGTATCTCTTACTATCCAGCCTTTTCCTGCGACATTTACGCAGTAAAAGGAATGGGAGAAGAAACTCCGACGATGCATACACAACAGAGTGCAATTTGATGTGTACGAAAATACAGGAGTATATCAAGTAAGTGTTCATTGTGCAACCCCCGAATGGTCCTATAATATTCCAAACGTCATTCCGTTTTTCTTTGCATGGTGAACCTAATAACGACAGATCGCTACTGCAAACAAATTGGCGGTGGTGACCAAGTAGTTGTGTCGCCAACTTGTAACCTGTGAGTTCCGGGTTCGCACCACTCCACCGCCTCTCATCTACCCCGGCACCCTTTCCATGGCCGCGGCCGCCCTTCTTGAATGTTGACTACAAATTTGTATATTCAATAAATAAAAGAGAAGTAAAAAAGGACAAAACAGGTCAAGACATAGAGGTTGTAACCCAACATCATAAACAGCCCAATGGAAAATTTTTGAATACATTTTGGTCACTATGTTACTGATATTAACTCTAGTGACATTCACGGATGGCCTTCAAATTGGATTGGCTGTAGTCACGTCACCGGGTAGACTCGGTCTGATGTCATCTTGTTCCGTTATTGTCTAGTCCGAGGACTCCAAGTAGAGAAGAAAAGCTACCTGCTCCAAACAGCGAATAGCAGGTCCTTGTGATGATCGAAATCAAATCATTTCTGATTCATCACATGCGTATGCAAAACACCGGGTTCAACGGATTCACCGGTCACCTAGCTGGGAAGATCATGTGTAAGCAGCTGATGTTCACCCGTGGGTGGAATATTCTTCTCAAGTTGTAGCCTCGATGGAAGCGGAAACGTTTACAAACTGATCACCCAAGTAGACGACCAAGTTAGAATAATACTCGTATCCACTTGTGGATGTCCTTGTTCTTTCGGTCATTTGTTCGTGAAGTGCTTCACGCCGGAGTTCACTTCCCAATGACTTGTTGGAACCTTAATGGTGGCCGGAGTTTTTTTGTGATTGATCGATAAGTCATCCCAGCTAGTTCCCTAGTGCCTCAAATCAGAAAATCCCATTCAGTTTACGCAGGCATTCACAATGTTCCTAATATGCAGGTATCGATGCGGATATTCTACTTGGGCCCTGTTATCTTTTATATTTAAGATAATGATCACTTACAAAAAGCAATGCGCAACCGGAAAGTAAACAGTTATACAATGTTTCACATCCCGCAACCACCACCTATCTTTCCCCGTTATGTGTGCTGCATGGCAGCCGTTTGGTTGGCCGCCTCCCTCTACCTGAAAATTGTATTCTCGTATGCTCAATAAAAGGAAGTAAAAATAATTAAAACCGAATTAAACATTGCAACTACTTATGAGTAGTTGTGTGAGAAAAATGATATTAATTTTGACTGACCATCTCGCATGTTACACAGTCAAGCACATTCCTCCGTGCATCCAGTCAACCTTACACTCATGAAGCACTAAACTGAAGTTTCACTCTTGTTAGAGTTCATCAGTATTGCACATCTTGTCCGGGTTTCGAATATAGGATTTATCACGCGGAGAGGAAAGTGTTAATATTGTGTCAACTGGTCGGATCAGCATTAGTAATTCATGTTTGTTGTGGTGTCATATTATTCTATGGCAATCGGTTCATTGATTTCTGTGAAATAAACTTTCAGCCTAGTCTGTTTGTGACTAATCAGTCCGGAACTGCATGGATGACGTTATTTGTTGAGTGGCTTTCGTTTGAAGTTAACACGTAGTTAACTGTATCTAATTCCGTTGAACCAAAAATGAAGTGATTGATGATCGTTTAATAAGGTACCCCGACAAACATGAATTGATCGATAAGATCCGTCTGATGTGGACCATTGGACATAGTGTTAGTATGGACGCCTTCCTTGCGATAAATCCTGCCTTAAAATCCCGGACAGGATGGTGGATATGCACTACTGATGAGCTCTGATTAGAGCGAAAATCGAGTCCGGTGCTTCCCGAGTGTAGGATTGACAGGTTACACGCTGGATTGTGTCTGAAAGATGGTCAGTGGAAATTAGCTTTTTTCGGAAAATGCCACGAGATCTCTTTTCTTTTAAAATTTTAGAGAACTGAAAGTTATTTGCAATCAGCGTTTTCCGGAGACAGCGATCGATCGTTTTGCTGTAACTGCCATAACCCATTCAGTCGGGTATATTTTCAAGCACGAAGTGGATGATCTAGAAATCTGGTTGCGTACTTGCCTGGGAGACGGTGTCGCGCACGAGCGATGCAAAATGCAGCTGTGCCAGCAAATCAGAAGGTGTGCATTGCTTAAAGCAGTTTTGCAGCAACCAACTGGTATAACGGACTTAATACCGAGAATTCCGGCAGCCATGATTTTCCACATGGAAACACTTGTGAATTGGGTTCTTCTTTGCGGGAAAACTGTGGGCAATTCAAACGGTCAACTGTATGCTAAAGTAAGCACTCTTTTTTGCATAAACGGTAAACCATCAACTTGACCCCGAATGACATGCTAATGGAAATCAATGTTTTCCCTTAAATTTTGGGATCAGAATATCACGCAAATTTAATTCATAATCACTATTTACTGGAAAAAAAATGCTGAGTAACTTATTTAGTTTGACACATCTGTTTATTTTGATAGGATAAACTTCTCTAATCT